AAAAAAAAATGTGCCAGTCGCAAAAACGCGCGCAGAGCGAGGCCAGCCGGAGTGGTCTCAGACTTCGCACTCGTTGGCATATATATATATATATATATTTTCATTAGTGATGCATGCATGATCTATTATATTGCCCCACCTAGACCTGATCACCGGTTCGGTTAGAACCGGAACTGGAACCGAAACCGAACCGGGGTCAACGGTTTTGGAACCGAACCCGAACCGGTTTGACCTAAACCGGAACCGGAACCGAAAAAACCGGTTCAGTTCCGGTTCCTCATTTTTGGAACCGAGAACCGTCGGTTAGAACCGCGGTTCTAACCGTTGGAACCGGTTTAAAATAAAAAAAATCAAATAATAAAATATTAATAAAAGGTCAGCTTTATTAAAACAATATAAAAAATCCTACCCAATTGTCCACTCCAGTCCAAAGTAACGGGGAATACGATGCTACACCCGGTGATTTTCACCGGGTGGCTCTTTTCTTGACATGTGTCCTTTTTTATTTATTTTATAATTATATTTTTAAAGCCCATTGGGCCATAACTGAACCCGTAGTGGGAATCTTATTAATTAGGGTGCCTGGTTATATTCACCAGGTGTAGCATAGAATTTCCCCCAAAGTAACGGTCACTTTAAAAAAAAAATTATATTAATATTCACATGGCAATTTGCAACGGTCAGATTAATTAAAAAAAAATGAAATGCATGTGGTTCTAAAGTTTTTTAAACGGTCAGATTGACAAATATCATAAAATAAAAAAAAATAATCACGTGCATAAAAATAAAAATAAAAAGTTTTTTAAACGGTCAGATTTTATAAATAAAAATAAAAAGTTTTTTTTTTGGGTTAATATTTGAGACACCCCTCAAACCAAGCCTAATTAGATATGAGGGACAACCTTAAATAGAACATTTTAATTAAATCCTTAATTGAAAATAAAATTTGACCAACATCCTTTTATTTTTATTAAACCCAAAAATACCCTTATTAGACCTAATAAAAATCAACATTTCCTTCTCTTTTTTTATTTCTCTATTTCTCTCTCTCTCTCCCTCTCTTATCCGCCGCCACCATCGTCTTTCTCAATTTTTTCAATTTTCCATCACCCCCCACCATAGCCTTCTTTCTCTCTGTCTTCATTGGCCCAGCCCTTCCTCTCTCTTTCTCTCTATCTCTATCTTTCTCTATTTTCATTGACTTGGAGGTATTAGTTGCAGGAGTTTTTTAGATCGGATCTTGGTGTGAGTGCGGCAGGCGGCGGGCGGCGGTGGTTTTGGTCGCTAGGGGCGGCGAGCAGCCGTGGTTTTGGTTGTTGGGGGGCGGCGGTGGTTTCGACCGCGGCAGGTGGCGGGCGACAGGCGGTGGTGGTTTTGGTTGTTGGGGCGGCGGTGGTTTTGGTCGTTCGGGGCGACAACGGTTTTCGTTGCTGGGGGCGGCGAGCGATGGTGGTTTTGGTCGGTGGGGGCGGCAATGCTTTTGGTCAGTGGCGTCGGTGGTGGTTTTCTTCGACGACGACAGTAATTTTTGTTAGAGTAGGTGACCAACAAGCCAACATGTGGCTGTGGTCTTTCGTATTTATTATTGTAATAAACGAACCTTTATTCGTATTAATGATAAAACACCTTGGCATTCTATATCTTTGTCCCTTTGTCACAAGCATAGATATAGTCCTTACAGTTATTACAAGTACTAGTAATTGATCGTTAGGATCGTGAGATATTTACTTAAGTATTATAACTGTTAAACGTGTTCCTAGTCGAAGGGTTACGCCACTAATGAGGATATCGGCCTTTCCCATTAAGACTAGCACTTAGTGTATGTGTACTGCATCTCATCAGTAAACGGTATTGTGATATCGGCATGCATAAGTGGGTGCTCGTAAGTTGACGAGTTCACTGAACTCCCTCACCCTAGAAATCTCTAAGTGGTTCCTAATAATCGAGTAGAGATATCTATGGTATAGTTGTACACCATTAGTCCTTATGACCTAGACATCACCGTGACTTCACTAGAGGACCAGCTGTATCGTGACCTGTCCCTGAGTTCCACCGAGGACCATCCCAAGGGCCAGTGTTCGTGCAGTCCGAAATCTAGTGGGAGGTCTGTGCATTGTAGTCGGGGATTCGATCGCTAGAATAGTCTTGGATGTCCTGTGTGTTCTGAAAGTTTGTAATCATTCTAAGTCTCTGGCCAGAGCTGACTAAGTGATGATTAGAGAATTCGATTCTCTAAGTCATGCACGTGACGATTACAACACTTGGAACGATCGCACCGTCATTGAACATATAAAGAGGTCTCGACGAACCAATGCCTCTAGTTCAATCGGGACATATGAATCGAAGGGACCGTACTGTACGTTAACTATATCTGAAGGTTCTTGCAGGCACTTCATTTGTATCTAGGGAATCATGACGCGTAGTTGCTAGACGCCAATCTTGATTCGTTGGGTGATTAAGGTGAAACGAGCTTCATCTTAATCGTAACTC